TATAAATCGAAAGGAGACTGCGACCCTAACAGAGGCCACAACATCTTGGTCTTCATATCTTCAATTAAAACCTATGTAGTTATAGACTGCTGCTCCGTATGGGCAGGCCCATGGGCATTAATTTGTCATATACTTCTAATTTACTTGTTTGCCCTAAACTCAAAACGCAGAAAACTTTTAAGTCTCATTGGTGGAACTCATTGCACCACTTCCTTAGCTCACACAAGTTAGAATTCGATAGTAGCAAATAGCTTAGCACTTTTGGCAAAGCAAACATGTTGAAGTATTTAGTGTCGACTTTGTACATCCGTATCATGTCCATTTGATCCCTCTTAGTGTCTGTATTTTATTATGCTTTTTAATATGCTTCGTTTGACATCCTTTGTCATGCTTACTTGGCAATGTTTATGTTTTTATGAACTCATGATAGCAACAGCCTCCTATTATTTAAACCTATCCTGTGATTACCTCTTTTAAGATTTTAGTGATACACTTCTCTAGATATGATTTTAATCTCCGTGCTAGTTTCGTTACTCGTAATTATGATGTTTAACTCAAAACCATTGCATCATGGATTTTGCCCCTACTTTCCAGTAAATTAATGACTTGTAAGAACTTTCTCACTTTAATTAATGTTAATTGCAAATTTCCTTAAAATCCTCTGTTTGTCCAGGCTCCTCTAGGAGGTGCTGTGTTACTTGTTACTTTGTCTATTTTGTTAAGTGATTCGTGGTTGTAAGTAGCCTATTTCTAAGATTGCTTCCTAACTAAATATACGCACTAAACTATTTTGTGTTCTCTATTTTCGACTATTTTCCTAATCAGCGTCCTCTCCTAGTAGATGTGTACACTGTATACTGCCTTAACTACGAGAAAGCTGTCCAATTTGCTGCCAGTTTAGAGAAAGACCCGGTTCATTGTCAGTGGATGGCCAGACGGAACCTCTTGTTAAGCAAGCTAGAAGACCAGCCACCTCAGTTTCAACCGATCATAGCTGAAGTCTCAACTTCCAAGGATAGACGGCCAAATGAGTTTTATGGTGAGGAGACTGCCCAGGCTGATTATGGAAGCACTATAACCCAGGAAAAAAATTCACATATGAATGAATATAGTTCGAACGAAGTTCCACCTCTATCTCCTTCAGTTTCCCTTGATTTGATATCTATTACAGCCGAATCACTCGCAATTTCGCCCACAGCCCTTAACCAATCTTCGACTGGGTCAGATTGCGCCGTCCCCGATCAATCTGCTACCTTTTTGACTCCATCTCAAGAAAACACTGACCCAGTTCCCTCTATATGGCCACTGGAATTTGACATTCCTACTGCGGCCGATCGGGCTGCTGCTGCCACAGCTATTTCTTCGTGTCGGCCATTGCTGCCACTTAGCTCGCGTCTCCTGACCCCAGTTCA